GAATGGCAGTCAGTGTCTGATGGACAGAGAGGACATGGCAAAAGGGTGTTTCCAAAGAAAATCACTCCTTATTTTTGCTTCCAAGTCCTTTGCCTCCTCTCCCTGCAACTTGACCCCATGAAGCCCTCCCCCCACTCCCATGTTACTTCCCTGGGGTCTCCATACACAAGGGACTTGAAGGCAGCTTTAAGCATCAGGCAATGGGGATGGTGGGCACTTATCCTTTCCAAACTCACCAAGGCTTCCTCACTGATGCTGCTGACAGCAGCAACAGCCATGCTGCACACCTCTGATCGGCCAGCATCTCTCATGACATGACATTTAGCCCCTCCTCTGGGTCTTGATGCCAAGGGTAGGCTCACAGATGGCGTCTCCACTGTGCGATTGACTTTTGGTACATCAGGTCTTTCCAAAAAGAAACAACGTCTGTCTCTCAGTGGTTTCCTGTTGGCAAGTGAGACCACTATGCCACATTGAGATTACTCTGCTCCTTGCTGTCTAGCCTGTTACTTTTCTCCTGCAGTGTCCTGCTTTAATGAAATGTCCAAGTTTCACACATCCACAAGATTAAAGACAATCTGGAATGCTTATCTCCTCATAAAGCTGTCCATGGACAACTGGGCCAACTTTGTGTGTAGCAATTACTGTTGACGCGGAATCGGTGCAACATTAATTTACTTTCATGTATCACATTTTAGCTTTAAGCAGCGAGGGGCAACAAATGCTGCCTGGTCAGTGACATTTACATCCCATCAGCTAATGTTAAAAAAGGCTCTTGTGGAGCAGAAACGCCTGTACAATGCATTTGGGGCCAGTGGATACTCAGGTTGTATCCAGGGGTTTTTATACTCCTATGTAAACATTGTGAAGACTAGGGAGATGGGTACAGATGGCTTTCTAACAATTCATGGGGAACAATATCATGGTCCTATATCTACCAAAGAGAGAAAGTTGTCACTGTAAATACAACTGCTGGAATGCTCAGCTGACATCCAATGTTATCAATGAACCGTCACCGTGCAACGTCCAATAGCATACAGAACACAAATGTCTTTGGCTCGTTCCTATGTTGGTGCTGTGTTGGCAGGAAATATATTACTGTTCCTTCAGTGTTGCTGGGTTAAACAGTTATAACTTTATTTTACTAGCATTGAGTGTGAACCTAGACCTCATTATCTGCAACACTGCAAGATATGGCTCACCACCTTTTCAAGACCAATCAGCAATGGGCAATAAATCCTGACGTTAACTGAGACACCCATGAACGAATAAAAAAATATTGAGATGAGTTTTCAAAGCAGGATTGGGAATCCAACCCCAGAATGAATTCTGTCTGCAGATATTGCTTTTCAACTGTCGTTTGTGTGATGCTCCTTTTAAATGTAAATGCTTTAATTGAGTCATGCCCATCCTTGGTGTAAAATTATTTACATCAAGCATCTCCAGGAGGGAGGAAGCGCCTAACAGGTGCCAACAGTAAAGGCAGGCAGCAGCCATTTTGGGGCCTGCTGCTGTCTTGTCAAAGAAAGCAGATAGTTTCTCAAAGGGTCAGCACCATGGCACTATGAAACAGAATGAGACCAGACAACTCTGAGGTACTGGCATAGTCCACAAAGGTTACTCAAATGACTAATTTAAGCTTAGAGTCATAGAGATATACAGGATGGAAACAGACCCTTTGGTCCAATTTGTCCATGCCAGCCAGATATCCTATATAAATCTAGTACATTTGCCAGCATTTGGCCCATATCCCTCTAAACCCTTCCTATTCATATACCCATCCAGAAGCCTTTTAAATGTTGTAATTGTACCAGCCTCCACCACTTCCTCTGGCAGCTCATTCCATACATGCACCACCCCCTGCGCGAAAAAGTTGCCCCTTAGGCCCCTTTTATGTCTTTCCTCTCTCACTTTAAATCTATGCCCTCTAGTTTTGGACTCCCCCACCCTGAAGAAAAGACCTTACCTATTTACCCTATCCATGCCCTTCATGATTTATAAATCTCTATAAGGTCACCCCTCAGCTTCTGTCACTCCAGGGAAAATAGCCTCAGCCTATTCAGCCTCTCCCTATAACTCAAACCTTCCAACACTGGCAACATCTTCATAAATCTTTTCTGAATCCTTTTGAGTTTCACAACAGCCTTCCTATAGGAGGGGGAACCAGAACTGCGCGCAATACTCCAAAAGTGGCCAAAGCAATGTCTTGTACAGCCGCAACATGACCTCCCTTCTCCTGTACTCAATGCACTGATCAACAAAGGCAAGCATACCAACCGCCTTCTTCACTATCTTATCTACCTGCGACTCCACTTTCAAGGAACTATGAACCTGCATTCTTTGTTAAAGAAGGTCTGTTTCCTCAGCAACACTTTCCGGGACCTTGCCATTAAGTGTATAAGTCCTTCCCTGACTTGCCTTTCCAAAATGCAATACCTCACGTTTATCTAAATTAAACTCCATCTTCCACTCCTTGGCCCATTGGCCCATCTGATCAAGATCCCATTGTACTCTGAGGTAACTTTCTCGCTGTCCACTACACCACCAATTTCGTTGTCATCTGCAAACTTACTAAACACACCTCCAATGTTCACATCCAAATCATTAGATTAAATGGTGAAAAACAGTGGACCCAGCACCGATCCTTGTGGCACACTGCTGGTCACAGGCCTCCAGTCTGAAAAGCAATCCTCCACCACCACCCTCTGTCTTCTACCTTTGAGCTAGTTCTACTTCCAAATAGGAGATAGCAAGAACTGCAGATGCCAGAGTCAGAGTCAATACAGTGCGGAGCTGGAGGAACACAGCAGGTCAGGCAGCATCAGAGGAGCAGGAAAGTCAACGTTTCGGGTTTACACCCTTCATCAGTCCTGACAAAGAGTATAAACCCGAAATGTCGACTTTCCTGCTTCTCTGATGCAGCCTGACCTGCCATGTTCCTCTATATCCAAATAGCTAGTTGTCCATGTATTCCATGTGATCTAACCTTGCTAACCAGTCTACCATGAGGAACCTTGACGAACACCTTACTGAAGTCCATATAGATCACATCCACTGCTCTGCCCTCATCAATCCTCTTCAATACATCTTAAAAAAACTCCATTGTTAGTGAGGCACGATTTCCCACATACAAAGCCATGTTGACTACCCCTAATCAGTCCTGGTCTTTCCAAATACAGGTAAATCCCCATCCCTCAGGGTTCCCTTCAACAACCTGCCCACCACTAGTGTCAGGCTCACCAGTCTATATTTCCCTGGCTTTTCCTTACCACCTTTCTTAAAAGTGGCACAACATTAGCCAACCTCCAGTCTTCTGGCACCTCACCTTGGCTATTGATGATACAAATATCTCAACAAGGGGCCCAGCAATCACCTCCCTCGCTTCCCACAGAGTTCTAGGGTACACCTGATCAGTCCTGGGGATTGATCCACCTTTATGCGTTTTAAGACATCCAGCACCTCCTTCTCTGTAATATGGGCATTTTTCAAGATGTCACTATTGATTTCCCCACGTTCTATATTTTCCATATCCTTCTCCACAGTAAACACTGATGAAAAATGCTCATTTAGCATCTCACCCATCTCCTGCAGTTCCACATGTAGGTGGCCTTGCTGATCTTTAAGAGGCTCTATTCGCTCCCTAGTTATCCTATTGTCCTTAATGTATTTGTAGAATCCCTTTGGATTCTCCTTAACCCTATTTGACAAAGCTATTTCAGGTCGAAATAGGAAGCCTTCAAAAATGAAATAACGAGAGTCCAGGGACAGTATGTTCCTGTTAGGGTGAAGGGCAAGGGTGGTAGGTGTAGGGAATGCTGGATGACTAGAGAAATTGAAGTTTTGGTCAGGAGATAGAAGGAAACCCCTGTCAGGTATAGACAGCAGGGATCGAGTGAATCCCGAGAAGAGCACAAAGGCAGTAGGAGTATCCTTAAGAGGGAAATCAGGAGGGTTTTAAAATAAATTCTACTGCTCCACAGTGAACCCAACAGCTATGTACTAACATACCTCATACAGTTGCATTCACCAAATTCTCACTTGAAAATCTGACCTCCCCAACTGTTTAGCAAGCTTCTAAATGAGTTTCAATGGGCCTTTCATTGGAGGTAAACAGGTTCCCCAATCCCTTTCCATTGCCAACATGTGGAAAGTCAGAGAATGTCCCAGAGGTGTTGAGATCCTTTAGGGCCATGATTTTTAAATTGCATCCACGTTGGGTCCAGACTCAGCTATGATTTGAAAGCCCAGCTTCATAGGCACAAAGGAACTATTTGACCTGTGACCTATTTGAACAAGCTATCTATCCATTTACTTCCTGCTCTTTCCTCATATTCCTGCAATTTCTTTGCTTTTCATATGCAGATTCAATTCTTTTTTAAATTTTACCATTGAAATTTTGTCCATCACCCTCTGAAGGTAGTGCATCTTAATGGCACCTATGCAGTGGCAACTGTTTCTCTTTAATACAAATTCTTTTACGTCAATGTGTCCTCCCTGTCCTATCACTTACCTGGCACAGAATATAAATCAATAAAATCTCGCTGGTTTCTGTTGCAACTTTGTTCCTATGACCTTAACCCTTTGCCTGTATTTCTCAATGATTCACAAGCCTATTGGATCAAACCCTTCTTTTGTCAATTAAAATTTCATCACCCACACCCCACCACCTCCCCTTCTACTTCCCATTGACTGAGAGTTTTAAAAGCAGAGGAGAAGGGAACTGGGAGGTGGAGCATTAATCCATTCACTCCTGCCCTCCCCTCCCCCAGATGTAGCCTCACTGTTTTGATGGACACTCACAGTCAGTGGCAGTCTGCTGCAGGAAATGTAACAGAGGCACACACGAGATTGTCCAATCCTGTGCCAGATGTTCTCCAATGATTTACACGTTGCTCTAGTTGCTGCCCATCAGTCAGTGTTAACTGGACACCAAGTTTGCAGACCCTCCCCCATCGCAATCCCTATAAAAACTCACCAGCTCCCTGTTGCACAGTGATTGTGCTGAGAAGCGATCAAAAAAAAATGATATCTGTTCTTACTGGAAAGATGTGTTTAACCTCCCTTAAACCCTGTAATCTCGAGACATGCACAAAGGAGTAAGTGTGTACATATCTATGATGCTTTATGTATCCATCGTAGTACCTTGAGAGCTGTATGTTGTGATAACAATGTAAGATTAGTACTTAGTAATATGGACTTATGTGAATGGGGGTTGGGAGTCTAGAGTCCTGTTTCCCTGACACGACTGAGTTTGTTCTTTTGTTTAAACAAAGTAGAAGGTTGAGTTAAAATTATTTTCAAATTCATGTTCAATTAGAAGACATCAGTTTTTTTTATCGCATTGAAAGGATCCTTTTAGATTGTTGATGTTACATTTCACTCCTACTGTGATTCTTTCAGGGAGATTTTGGAATACTTTGAGAACACCTATGATTTGGATGAAACCCTTTTCAGTGCACTCAAAGGTAAGGAGGCTTTCAGCAGTGACCTTTGCTGCAGCTGCTAAAGACTTTTTGGAATGCTGCCAATTACAAAGCGATTGAGATCCAAAACACTGCTTTCAATCATTTCTGCCAAATTTTTCCACTTTGTTTTTCTTTATTCTGCCGGGGGACTGTTGCACATGCTGCCCACTGGTACCTCACTGCGTTGTGAGCAGCGAATACAGTTGCCTAGATTTAAATGCATGCTGCACTGGGGAGGCTAAATAAACACCGGGTGACCGTTTTGAGGAACACCTCCACTCAGTCCGTAAGCGTGACCCTGACCAAACTTCCGGTTGCTTGCCATTTTAATGCACCACTTTGTGCTCATACTCACATGTTCTCTGTCGTAGGCTTGATGCACTGTTCCAGTGAAGCCCAACACAAGCTGGAGAACACAGCACCTCATTTTCCATTTAGGAACTTCACAGTCTTGTGGACCCAACATTAGTTCGACAACTTCAGAACATGAACTTGATTTTCTTCCTCCCACCATTGCCCTGCCTCCACTCTCCTGATAGCACCAATACCACCACCAGCGACCCCCCCCAACCACCATCCCCCCATCTCCCCACCACCTCCAGTTTCTTGGTTTTACTTTCAGCAGAGCTGCCATACTTTTGCAATGAACACCTTCTATTAACACCCACTCTTGGACCTGTCTCACCTCTCTGCATCCAGCACTTTGGGAATGGAGTGGTTGTGGGGAAAAAAAATCCAAGTGCACTGATATCTACATTAAGATGGTTTCTATTGACTTAACACAAGCCTTTTTGCATATATATATGCATGAAGTTGCCACTTGATTTGAGCAGTCAGTTCAAGTTCTTTGGTATCATAACAAACTCACCCAGTCCATCTTTACTGTCCTCTCTAAGTGATTCCAGCTGGCTATGTGGTGGGACAGGGGTGGGAGAAGTTCACATTCCTCCTTCAGTATTTTACTATATCTATGACAAGGCAGCGTCATTTGAACTTCATTGACTGAACTATCGTTAAGCTGCATATCATTTTACATCTCACTCAGATCTAACCCAGCATTTGTTGAGCGTTAATAGGAACACCTTTGTGTTTGTTTGGGGCTGTAATCACTTTACAATAAATGGAATGATGCTTGAAATGTTGCCTATTCGTGGTAAAGGTGGAGGAACAGCAATGAATTGATATTCATCTCTTTGTTTTGTTTAACCCATTAGATGAATCCAGCTTCTACTTGTGCCCAGAACGATTGCGGTTGCCCCTTATATTTTACTATTGCCATCCTCCAGTGCTCTACATCAATAAATTGTTGCTCAGTGGCCTCATAAAGGTAAAACAGCAAAAGCTTGTGTTGCAGGAACAAATAAATTAACTCTTAAGTAAGCACTTGATTCTATTTATCTTGAACAAACATATTTTAAAGCAAAAGGTCAAGGAAATAAACTGTATCAAAATCTTTGATTTGTTTCATGTATAACATTGTGTTTAATGGAAACGGTAGATAATGTTTAGTACAAGTAATGGAAGTCTTGCAATATTTTACTATAATATATAGCAATGTTAATATAAGTGCATTTTTAATCTATTTTCCTCCCCTATTTTCCTGAAGGTGATGATTCTTGCTGAGGTATGATTGCACCACGTACAGTCTCCCCCCCACCCCAATAAAACTAATTTGAGTGACCACTCTGCCCACCCAGACAGTGTGACCTCATTTGGTACTTGGGTATGGAGGAGAGGCACTGAAGTCACGTCCAATCCTACCCTTTACTGAGGCCGATTTTCCAGTTGGAGTCCTTGAATCCACAGAAGAGGAATCCAGTTAATGTAAGAACGTAGTACCAAACTTGGGATTGTTTCAGGGGAGCTATGATTTACATTTCACATGGGCACATGAGTGCTGTGAAGCTAACACCAACGCAAGAAAAGAAAAAGATTTGCATTTATGCAGCACCTTCACAACCTCAATATGATCCGAAATGGTTTACAATCAATGAAGTACTTTTTGAAGTGTTGCTTGTAATATGGGGAACACGACAGCCAGAGTAAGTTCCCTCAAACAGTAATGCGATCAGGACCAGATCACCAGGTTTTGTCGATCATAATGGCTGAGGACACTGGGGAGATCTCTCGATCTCTTCAAAATAGTCATTTATGTCTGACTGAGATGGCAGATAGGTTTTAAGATCTCACCTCTGACGATAATAACTGCAAAGGGGTGTCAATCTACATTACAGACTGAATCTTCTTGTTTTGGTGAAGTACAAGCCTTATTGAGTTTTTTTGAAGGGATTCTTGCCATGAGGTTCAGCACGTTTTCTCGCTGTATCTTACCAAATCCGCTGCATTGATTCACAGTGCCAGCTCTAGCAGGCCTCACATCCAATTTTTGCCCCATTATACCACATACGTTCTCGGAGGAGCACAACACGCAGTGGATATCCGCCCTAAGACTAACGTCCCTTGTGTCGATGCCAGCGTTAAGCTGCTCACCAGTGGGGTTGTTGGCAATTAGCAGGGCAGCCGCCAGCTCCAATACCTTGGTGGGGTTGAGAGAGTATGGGCTTGGAGGGTGATGTCCGCTGCACAGTGATTGTTCCACAGGCATGTGAGGGCAAAATAACCCAGGTCACTGACACTTGGAAAACTGGCAGAGATACCTACTCAGCTGCCTGGGTCTTCCGGTCCTGGTGCTGAGGGACTTTGTTCACATGTATAGGGTGGATCAGGAGTAGCAGGTGGGCACATGGGACTCACTGGCTCTCATTGTCCAAAAGCTGCAGCCTGAGGGCCTACAGACCTGCAGCCCATCGCCCCAGACATTGGTCCTCATGATCAAAGGCATGTGAAGCGTTGGGTGGCAGGGAGGATGATGCAGGGAAGTTTGAGCCCATTCAAGGTGCTTATCACCACACAGAGAGATGGCAGTGCCAGGATGCACCCTGCTGGGAGGAAGAGGGGCCGCATGCAAATCCCTCTGCACTTTCCACACAGAAATGGCCAGGCCCTCCACCTCCACCCTGTGTGCCCCTCTCAGACCAAGGAGGGATCCTCAGGGATCACCCCACCAAAACTCCAGGGTCATCGAGCTCCAGTACAGAGCAGGTTCCCTCCATCCCTGAGGGCATATCCCAAGGGCTTTGGGCAGTGGAAAACAGGGAGAGGTTATGACTGACAATGTTTGCAGATAGGTTTTCTAAAAGTTAGTTTTTAACTGTTCATGTCTCTGTTTATGGCCCAGATGCTTCAGTGTGCCCTGTGGCATCACTCTTTGGAGACTAACAAAACACCATGGTTGGGAGAGGGACCTCTGCAAGCACCAAATCCATCTTGACGGTGCAGAGGGAGCATTGCAGGTCTAGGACATTGGGTCATTCTGATACTTGACTGATGGGACCCCCATGGGCTTCACCAGGGACAACTGCCTTAAGGCTTTGAGTTGTGCCGACTGCTTGCTGCAGATGCTGTGTGTTTGGCATGAATGCTGCTGCCACTTGGTACAAGTGTGACACTAACATGGCATACTGACGTACAGCAAGATGTACGTGACCTTGGCTAAGAGCTTGGCCAGCTGCCTGAATGTGTCACTGCTCCAATTGCCAGTGTGAGGCATGCGTAACAAGGCAAGGCCAGCTAAGACAGCAATTGATCAGCATCAATAGACAGCCTGGTGCAAGCCCTCTCCCCTGTGCGGTAACTGTACTTGGTACAAATGGGCACTGTGGGTTGGTGGTGTGCTCTGTAGGCAGGCCTGGGCTTCCAGGGCACACTGCAATTGCATTGGAGAAGTACCAGGTTGGTGGCAATGGCTTACTGAATCTCAAATGTTAATATCAAGTGTACAGTGTACCTGGAGCTGGTTCCCATGGATCATGCTCCTGGACTGTAGTTTGTGGGCAGCATGGACACAATGGTGAGCAGAATCTGCCAGGTACCCACTCTGGGCTCCAGGATGGGTTTTCCCGATGAGTAATTAATTAGAATTAATTAATTAGTAATTAAGACCAGAACCAGAATATTAATGAGGTGAGTTGGGCCATCAACAAGACACATAACAAGCCTAAATCTTCATCATTTGGCAATTCACTGCTGCCCAATGAGATTCTCATTATGACACTTGTGGAAAGCGTAAATGATAGAGTGAGATGATCTTGATCTCGCCACATTTCTCATCCAATTCTGTCACGAATCTCACCATGGCATGTGTTCCTAAGGCCCCTATAACATTCTACCCTCTAAACTCAAATCTCTAGTGAGTGGCTTGAGCCCACAACCTTCTGGTTAAGGGTTTCCTTACCATTGGTCTTTTCCGGAACACTATTGCACAGTACCCCTGGATCTGGTGTTTCAGTAATAATCATAAAGAATGAAGTTATAAATTAGAGATATGCGGTTGCAGTCCACGTCTGCCTGACCTTCTCTTGGCTAGTGTTTAATTAAACACATTTGGTGATGGTGTTGTCCTAATTATGGTTTCAAAAGCCAATGCTTGTGCAGGAATACTGCTGCCAGCAAATACTGGTTCATGTGTTTGATCATCAAACTGTAGAGAGCAGTGCCACCACTTCGGCACAGCCATTTTCATTTCCCTCACCAACCATCTTTGTCACCTTCCTGTACTGGTCTAAAAATGTAAAGGCACTTGGAGCTAAATTGTAGACAGTTCGGTGGAACTGGACTGAGCCTCTCTCAGGCTGACACAGATTCTGGCAGGAGCAGACATGAGAGATTTTCTGTCACTGATTGGGGTTGAACCTAATTGTGAAAAGGTGGTGACCAAAGACAGAGAGATTGTCCTGGATCCTACATCAATTCTTGGAATTGTTGAGAATTGTAATGTGGCGGACATCGAGACTGGACTGTACATCTGTCAAGAGAGTCATACCATTTTGAATCTCCAGTGTGCTGAAATGATCAGGACCACAGGCCCAAAGGCTTCTCTCAAAACTTACAGAGAATGTTTAAACATTAAACAGTATTCCTTTAAATTGATCAAAGCAATCTACTAAAGTGTTCACGTTTAATAATGTGCAGAGGAGGAACACCAGTGATGTGCAGATGGCAGGACCTGGTTACAAACTCCAGTTAAAAATGTTGATTTATATCGTGCTAAGTTCGTTCTTTAGTTGTCAGTAAATCTTAATCAAATTTACCATTACTGTAGCAAGATCTGCCCTGCTGACTGGCAACAATTGTAGTTTCTACCTGAAATACCTGTGCTCTGGGTGGCCATGCAGAGGAAATATAGCGTGGAGTGCCAAGGCAGGAAGATGGAATTTCAGTTCCTGGTTAGTGCTGATTTAATTTGTGTGCGTTGCTGTGCAGTAGTTCAAACACAATGACCGGCTTCAGCACCCTGAATCTGTATTCTGGACATGATGGAAAAATCCAGTCAGAGTTCCTGCACCTGATTAGTGTCCAAATACCGAATCCACTATGATGCCTTCCATGCTTCACTGCACTTGATGGGCTGAATGGCCCCCTTCTGTACTATAAGGGCTTTCTGAGTTTTCAGACTTGCCGAGAAAGAATGACATTTCTAGGCAGTTGCACCTCAGGAAGAGTAAGCACCTTCAAGATGGGAAGTGAAAAAATAGGGCTTGAAAATAAATCTGACCAATTTAAAGCGACTTGTTTCACAAGCTGTTGCTTTGTATCCCACAGGAACAAGTGAATCCCAGTTTAGAAGCTCTGTTTGAGACGGGAGTGGATGAGATGTCCTGGGATGACACGGTGTGTGGAACATTTTCATTTACAGGGAGATGTGGACTTTCTGAAATTTTCTATTGAAATAATCTCAAATACATAGACTGGGTAACCAATAGAAGTTTGTTCCTTCAGTGAGCACAGTGAAGATGGAGGTTTAGGCCATCTGTGTTTTCTTGTGTCACATTAATTTTTTCTATAGTTTCCTCCTTTTTAACTTACTGTTTGGTTCTAAAAGCATTACCTTTCTAACCATAGAAACCATAGAAAGGTCACGGCACAAAAAAAAAATCACACCTCATCATGTCTCATATTGATTCCAATAATTTGCCTACCATTGAGTTTAGACTGACTAATAATTATCTGGGATATAACTCACACCCTTTTTGAATAATGGCATAATGTTTGCAGACTTCCAATTCTCTGGTACCTTGCCTGTTCCTAGAGAGGATTAGATAATGATTCTCAGAGCATCTGCTATTTCCTCAAGCCTAGGATACCATTCATCTGGCCCTGGTTATTTAACTACCCTGTACTTTCCTTCTTATTATACTTATTTATCTGATATTTCATGTTCCTTCTCTTTAACTGGAATATATGCATCATCTGTCTCCTTTGTGAAGACAGAGACAAATACTCATTTAGAATCCTGCTCACATCTTCTGCATCCATGTACAAGTTACCATCTCCATCTTTGGTGAACTCAGCCCTTTCCTTGGTCATCCTCTTGTTCTTATATTACTGATAAAACACCTTTGGATTTTCATTAATTTTACTGCCCAATATCTTTTGCTGTCCTCTCTTTGATTTCCATTTACACTTCATCCTGCTCCTTTTATACTTCTGTAAGCTTCCTAAAGTGATACATGTTGAAATTGTCATAAGCTCTATTTTTCTGCTTTGTATGCTTCTTGATAAGCAGGGGACTTGGGACGTGGCCATACTACTCTTTCTCTTTGTGGGGACATGTCCAGCCACTTTCGAAAGCCTCCCATTGATTTGCCAGAGTGTGGTGCCATGGTCATTGGCAGAACCAGAATTAGAACTGCAAGTAGCCAGAACCAGAACTGGACCAAGTGCCCATTTTTCATGTATTTGTCTGGATTGTTGGCATTGCCGGCTTATTTAGTAACGCAACGGACCATGACAAATGCAATTGTCTTCCTCTTGCTGAATCCACAGATATGCAGAACTGGGTTTGGAATAAAATATCGAAACTATTTCTTTTGCCAGGTTATTGTCTCCTATGTTTTGACCAGCAGTCACCAAAGAGATGAATAACCTGATGTTAGATAACACCGGCAGTCATTAAATATATAATTGTTAACACAGCTTCATTCTTTTACTTCAAAAGCTGGATGGTCAAATATGTCAAAATTTCACCGCCAAACATTCTAACTAGTCTAGTAAATTTTGACCTTGAGTGTATTAACAAAATTGATGGCAGGCTGACTGAATGCTTTATGTACATTGCAAGATCATACAGTGTGTCACCATTGCAAGGCATGTCATGGTCAGCAAGGCATGGTGACATCAAAATGTGTAGATTATCAGCACTGGAAAGAAATCTGACAGGCTGTGAAAAGCTACACAGATTAGCAAACAACATTAACTCAAGCAAGGTTCCTTAGTTTCCAGAATAAGTGAATTAATTACAGTGAAATCACACCTAGCCAAACTTTGATGATAGGAAATTTCAGTTATAGAATCATAGAGATGTAAAGCATGGAAACAGACCCTTTGGTCCAACTCGTCCATGCCGACCAGATATCCTAAATTAATCTAGCCATATTTGCCAGCATTTGGCCCCTATCCCTCTAAACCTTCCTATTCATGTACCTATCCAGATGCCTTTTAAATGTTGTAGCCTCCTCCACTTCCTCTGGCAGTTCACTCCACATAAGTACCATCCTCTGCATGAAAAAGTTGTCCCTTAGGTCCCTTTTAAATCTTTCCCCTCTCACCTTAAACTTATGCTCTTTAGTTTTGGACTCCCATATCCTGGAGAAAAGACTTTTTCTATTCACCGTATCCATGCCTTTTGTGATTTTATAAATCTCTATAAGGTCACCCCTCAGCTTCTGATGCTCCAGGAAAAATAGGCCCAGCCTTTTCAGCCTCTTCCTACAGCTCAAACTCTCCAACCCCGGCAACATCCTTGTAAAACTTTTCTGAATCCTTTCAAGCTTAACAACATCTTTCCTATAGCAGCGAGACCAGTATTGAACGCAGTATTCCAAAAGTGGCCTAACCAATATCCTTGTACTGTCACAACCTGAGGTTGTCAATTACTCCTGCTGGGGTAGGAGTAGCGAGTAGGAGTAGGAATAGCGAATCTCATGGAATGATGCCCCTGGTAAATCAAAATCCTGCATTGGTTACACCAGAATAGCCAAGCTTCTCACCTGATCATGTTTACCCATCAGAACTAGAGTGTGCACTCAGCAAGCCACCATTAGACATTGAAATCTCCCTGTGGAAGGATCTGCAAAGCCTGCAAATATGGCCAAATCTGTGAAAAAGTTGGAAGTGTTGTTGATTGATGAGTAGGTGATGAGTACTGAAACAGTAAGTGGAAGACCATGGTGTAAATCAAACATTGCACCTAATTGGAGGTTTCATCATCAGTTTGCCTACCATTATGAAACAAGGCAATCATCTTGGAGCAGTTCAATAAGAGACATTCTCCTCAGGGCAAAAAAGTAGATGAGAAAGGCTGTCCTTCCCAAAAATGAAAAAGCTGTGCTGATGTGATTGAAGACAGCTCAGATAGAGAACATTCCCGTCTCTGGCCGAACCCTGCAGGAAAGGAGAGGCACTGTGACAAGGAAGCTGAAACAAGTGCAGTGACAGATGGCTGGACTCATTCAGAGCCAGGCAGGGCACCATCAAGTGTGTGGGAAGTGGTTAGGCTGCAAGGATTTTGCCAGCTAAGACAGATGAATGGTTCCAAAATGACCTCATCCATGTCATAAAGGAGGATGCATAAAGAAGTATTTTTAACGTGCATGAAACCAGACTCTTTCACCATTTTTTGCCATCTATGTTTAAAGCTGAAAGATGTAATGGTGGTAAGCAAAGCAAAGAAAGCATCACTGCTATGGTCTGTGCCAATATGAGTGACACCAGAAAAGATGGTACATCTTGAGAGAGAAAAATCCAGGAGTCCTCATTGCCTCATCAAAGTCAAGGCACCACCACTGCAGCATTAGGCAAAACAAAACCCCACCTAGAGCACCTCCAGCAACCTTTGAGAAATGGATGAAGAAGTTGGGAATGGGACATCCCCAGCTATCACAAAGCACTGCCTAACATGAATATGGAAACAGTTCACTTGAGATTTGACTCTTAAAGATTTTACTGAAGTATGCCGAACTTAAGCTCAAATTAGTGTGGATGATATTATGTATGGCAATTAATAACAGGGTTAAACTGTAACCATCACAATAATGTATTATTTGCACTGCTCCCCACCTCGCTCATCGCAGATGTACTTGCTTTACCTTTCCATTCGGACAGTGAGAGAAAGCAGGTTGTAGGTGTGAGCTTCTGTCCTGACATTTCAGGGAATATCACATCAAGCCTCTAATTCACTGCTGCATAACAAAGCATCCTTGCCATTTACTTCAAAACTCTGATCTTTTATTTTTGAAATTATTCTGTGATTTTCTGTATCACATCCCCTGGATGAGAGTACAGACTCACACCACATAGTTTAAGAGACGAGTTCATTCTTGGTGTGTCTCTGGCTTTTATCCCATGTGTTCCCTGTTAGCCCTGGCTACCTGTTTCATGTGGATTGAGGATTGGGTCAGCACAACCAAGCTGGATTGCTATGATATGTAAATTTTCAGCTAGGCTTATTACTTAGCAATCTCAAGTAGGATTATTGCCCTCATTTAAGTTTTAAGGGCAGTGAAACTAAGACCAGATCTGCACCACTTCCTCATGGTCCCAACTAAATCAACACAATCTTTATGGGCTCTTTACAGAGTATGGAGCATTTATTGAATGATCTGTGAATGCATTTATGAGTCTGCTCCAGGAATATCGAGAAAGCTGTATTCGTAGCTGAGGTCACCTGCAAATGAAAGCTGCATTTGTAAGAACTTTCTTTTTTAACACAATGAGCCTCCATTTTGTCACATGCTGTGTCCATTTCACCAGGAGAATTATCGAATGGGCGGAAGTTTTAACTGGCCCAGTTTGTTGGAGTGCATTGAGTACCGAAGGAAGGTACGGGCCATTGTTCGCAAAGTCATCCAGGAAACTCCGTTGGAACTTCCAGTAACAGTAGACAGTCCTTGGGTAAGTGACTGAAAGCTTTTCAATATCACAGACTAATGGTAAAGTGAGATGGGCACTCTACAAACACAAAATGCGTGCTGGGTAATATGAAAAGAGGAAATACCAGGAGATCCCTCAGAGATTTGGGGTCAACGAAAACATAAAATGAAATTCCTAAAGCCAAGTTGGGATAAAATCTAGGATATTCCCCTCTGATTTCTTAAGGCGGAAAAGCAAGTTCCATGTGATCTATTGGTTGTCACATGGCAACTTTGCATGTGGTTGTGCTACACAGGAGAGGAGGGTGCTTTGTGAGAGAGTTTAAGGCATTGCTTTACTATTGCATCTAACCTGTACTGTCTGTAGCCTGCGAGCATTCAGTCGGTAAGTGTACAAGGTGCCTTCCGCTCCATCTACTCTACACAATGTCTGTCTTGGATGCTTGATAGCTTGGTGAAGAGGCAGATTTGCTTTGCATTTGGCTGCGCTATTTCTGACCTGGCAGTGTTTAGTTGTGGCATCTGAACTGGCAACCAATTGCATTCCCTATCACCAGTACACACGGATAAGTGCACCCAAATGTGAACAACAAAACTAATAGAAGCTGCTAGGTGGAAATAAATAATCAAGGAATAAATAATCTGCCTGTTATTTTTAAACAAGCCCTGTTTATAGTCTGGGAAATTAATTGGAGCCACAGTAGGTATTGGCTATTATCTACATTCCTTTTAACAGCATCTTCCTGTGCTTAGTGTGAGATCTTTTGTGCTGTGCTTTTGGTTTTCTCTGTTGTACAATAATTCCCTATTTATGATACTTTCTAATAATATGTTTCAGTTTTAGAGTTTTTGTACAAAGGAACTTTCCTTAAATAACACTGTCAGCCCCTGATGGTGAATTTTTGGTTTAAGCCTTAAGAAGCCAGACAGACTGCTCTTGGTATTATATATCTATGGGCAGAATCTTCCAGTGCCAGATACAGGAGCCTGGTGGAAACTTAAAGAGGCAGGATGATGACAGAACAGAACCCTATCACCCTCCCACCTCCAACAGAATTACATATTGGGTAGAAAGGCCAAGATTCACCTTCCCATGTTTTTCCTGACCGAAGCCTTGAAGTGGTCAATTTAATGATCACTTCAGCGCCTATTTCCATCCCCCGGGTTGCAGCTATTTCAGCTCCAGACAAGGTGAGAGTGTTGGTCACCCAACTGGTTGACAAGGCTGTCACTTAGGGTGAGGTCTGTCAATCTCCACTAATCAGGAGGATGCCTACTGTGAGACATCCCCAGGTCCTTGCTTCCAGGTTAGGTTGAGTTTCACCCCTCCCTCCCCACCTCACCAATTTGGCAGAATCGAGGTTGACTGTGATGCCCTAATAACCAGCAGGATCAGCTCATTCATTACGGATCAGGATGGAAACCAGGGTCTTCCAAGTTGCTATCTCTCAGTTAGAACAAGCTACCAGGAAAATGTGGACCTCTTTCCTAAAGAGCCAAAGTCCAATTTTATTGACAATGTTTCTTGCCCAACGACTACGGTGCATTGAAACAGTGTAATATGCTTGTGAAGCTGGTAACGTTGCAAGGAAAGTCTATCCTAATTCATACCTTTATTTCCAGTGGTCAGTTTTCATGGGACTGGAACACGAGCGAATCCATTTAGAAACTTCATCTGTGCTGATTCGTCAATTGCCAATTCACTTGGTTGAAAGGCCACTAGGTTGGAGATATGCCTCATCAAATAATGGTCAGTACATCTGTCTTGATCACCATTAACATTTCTATGTGGCGCCTACATGTTTTTATGCTGCTTTTATATTTCTAGAGTGACTGGAAATGGGCACGGGGTCCCACAGGATTCTTATTCCCAAACTGTGTCTGACAGCATCAAATCAAGGATATATATCTAGGACTAGAGGGAAGGGGATTCAAACCTCCAGACAATTGTAAATTAGGAGGCAGAGTGATTAAAGGATTCTAGAAATGTATTGTGGCAAACCGATGGTATGTTTAAGGGTAAAATTCAGGGTCATGAAAGTCTGACATGACATGTTTCAGGAAAATAACATAATTGGAATAGTTACATACTGAATGGGGAAATTCAAAAGAACAGGGGGATTTGCAAGTACAAATTCACAAGATATTAAAAACAGCATGGGAATGCAGACACAATCATAAAAATAAACTTAAAGGGTTACTGGTTTTTATTGTAAGAAGGTGAAAATATGAAAGTCAAACTGTCATGTTGCTTCTATGTATAGCCGTAGTGAGGCTATGGTTAAAGAACCGTACAACTTTGGGCTCCATACAAGAGGAAGACCAGGAAAACTGATTCACTATGATGCAGTCTCAGATGAAGAAATAAAAATTAAGAATTTGAAAAGCTATGCCTGTTTTTGTTATATTAAATGGTGTATAAAATTATGAAGCTTTGGGTTGTGGTGCACAATCCCTGTTCCTGGAAGTGGCAAGTTTGGAGGCAGGAAGGGCACACAATTAGGCAGGGTGGTAGTATATCCAAATCCCACTGCCCTCTACCTGCATTATGCTCAAGGCAGAACAGCCCATGGTTGACATTTCTGTCCCCTCACCAATTAAGGCCCATTTAAGGGCCATTCACGGTCATCAGCCCCTGCTGCTGGGATTAATCCAGCTCCAGGCCTGTTGTCAAGCAGTGACATGATTGCTGGCACCCAGAGGGCAGCTTGTTACCTCAGGCAGTGAGGAGGGGAGTCCCTTGAACAGAGGTAATCAGAGCCTCATTGGCCACTGAACGTGAGTTGCCTGCTGGAAGCCAACCCCCTGCCCTTCCATCTGAACCCCCTTCCTATTCTCCCTCTGAGAAACTACAACCCACATCCTTTACCTTTGTCCAGGAATTTCGATGGGTATGCTCTTCCACAAAGGAGGGAGGCAACAGGCCTATTATCGCACCCACCTCTGGGGCTTGCTGAGTCCCAAGAGCGACTGGCCTCTGATTGGCTGGCAGATCTCACAGAGGATAACGTCCGCCCTGGGGTCTTTATTCCAGGAGGAAGGAGGTCTCCTTGCCACTGCCTGAGGCACGTGGTTCAATCAAACTTCCCTGGAATGGCAGCCTGGGACTCTCACTGGCTCTCCAGCCTGCAGGTAACCCTCCATATGCCTCAAGATGATTCTGCTGTTGTTTTCCTGCCATTCAAGAGACGAAGGGAGTGTGGATGCCAGACATCTGCAGAACAATAAACAGCAGAAAGCTTTTGCACAGAGGCTCCTGAAATGGTGGAATACATACCTATACATTCTCCTTCACAAGTACACATGCAGATAGTGATGATTGGACCAGGGTCTAGTTTAACAACTGAACGTTCCTTCTTGTCTTCAGCATTGGCACTGATCCTAGGCCACCATGGGAAAGGCATAGTGATCTCTGGGAAGAAGCAACAACACCTCAAGATGCTCCAGTAATTCCTTGTTGAAGGCCCAATCTCAAATAAGGCCTTCACTGAGATATTTCCTGCTATCTATAGGGCATTTCTGCTCCTTGATCTTTAAAGTTCCTTGCCAGATGAGCAAGAGTTTGTTCTTCCAGAGAGGAAGGGAGAAAGCTTAAAACGATCTAAATCAAAACATGGCATGACTTGCCACGTCATTTCTTCACATCTTAGGAGAAGATTCCTTGAAGACAAGAAACCAATGAGTTTATTGAAATTGATTATAAATAGATCTCTACTGATTTGAGTTTGATGAAAACTCTATTCAATTGAACTATTTCAGTTTAAATCGCTTTAACTTGTGGTCCTAATCCCCAACTCATTCAGGAGGATACTCTCTCAAGATCAATTAAGGATTGTTCTTTGCAGGACGTGGAAAATGAATTGCAGATGGTTTTTACAACTTGAAGTGATTGTGACAAATATGGACAGTTCTAAAACAGCTATTTCTGGCTCGAATTCCCCCTTTTTATCCAGGAACCAGTTATGAAATCCCATCATTCCCACTTTGAGATTGTATAACTCAGCATGAACCACAGGTCAAAGCAAGATTTTTTTTTTCATTGATATTGTCCAATGTCAAGAGAGCACCAGAAGATGATTCCTAATTTGTCAGTCAAGTATATAATTTGATACATTGTAGCCTATTCACTGATTGCGATATGAAGTGTTCCCTTTTGTACAATAAATTAGACTAACAACATAAGGTAGAGGCATGGGGCATCAGTTCAATCTCTCCCGACACAGAGGGGGCACATTTCCCCTTGTGGGAGGTGGCGAGGGAGTTGGTGAGAGGGGCGAATAATTGGGCAAGTTGGCCCTGGAGAAACACTTGCTCCCTGACTAATTAAATACTGGGCAAAAAGGTTTATTGGGAAAACTGAGGAGCTCAAATAAAAACTTAATTTCTGTGATCCAGTTCAAACAATGTGTCATTTTCCAGTTGTCACTATTTCGATGTAGGAGGAATGGAAGACATAGTGAGCAAAGTAAAACTGTACATGCCACAATTATGAAAGTTCTGATTTACAACTTTTTATCTTTAGGATTAGAAGCATTTGACAACCCTCTGATCAAAATCCCAACTTCCCATGCTGCTTATGGAAAACCAAGGAATTTCCCATCTTATGGCTGGGATAATGAATATGGACAGATGACAACAGTGTATGTACACAGATTCCTATTCACAAGGGCAGAACACCTTTATATATTTAAATTGCCCCCAGTGCTCATGTAGAAAGTTCAGCTAAAAACTGAACTTTATAGAAGGAAGGAAATTTGCAAATAATTTGAAAGATGCACTAGAAAGTCAGCTATATATCTTGGAGTGTCGAACTAAAGAACACAGACTTAAAGTAAATGAGAGAGAGCAGATTACAAAGTCAATCCAACATGGAGGTTTTGGTAAATGGAAACAAAGTCCAGGTGCAAATGTTGTGTTGAATAAATCTCTGGAAGGACTGTGGGATTTTATTGTTCCAGGTATTCTTTAAATGTGGATACCGCTAGCTTCATTCATTTCCCATTCCTAGTTGCCCTGTGAAAACTGTGCGTATGAATCCCTGGGGCTGAATCATACATTTTATTGGCTAAGTCTGAATGGCATTGAGTTTCTTGAAGGTTTTTCATTGTGAAGTCTAATGAGTTCTCTCACTGTACCTTATTAAACTCACTGTATTAACTAACTACCTTAACAATGGTGTTGTCCCATCCGATTCCAGCCACATCTTATCACTTATCCTTCTCAGAATAACTCACCATTCAGTGGATATTCTCCACAAAACCAGCATCCCTTGCACCCACACCATCTTGAAAGGCCACTCTGCTCCCTGATAAATGTTGGCAATCCAGCGTTGCCCCTCACCAACAAGATCGTGGCACAGACAATATGGCTGACACTCTCTCACAAGTACAACCCCATTCTCTCACTCAAGTTGCTGCTTAACCACTACACCACACACTTTACCGGTCTGTAACTGCATCCCGTCTGAACATTGTCTCTAAGTCAGCACTACCCTGTCCCCAGTACCTCCATTACACCCACAGTTTGTCATTGTCCAGTCGGGGAACATCACATACAGGCAAGCAAACAGGCAATCCAAACATGAACATTTACTTACAGAAAGCAAAAGATAAAGCAGTCACAAACAAAACCAATAGGGGCTGACTTTTGCCTCAACAATGCAAACCAATTGTTGGCGTGATGGCCAATAACTGTTTTACTGTCCACAGTGGTCTGTGCACCCAGCTCTCATTTATGGAACTGGTTGTCAGTGAAGTTCTGTCTGGTTTGTAGTATCCAAAACAACTGAGCTCTGTCATTAACAAGGACAGCTTCCCTCTCCCCAGTGTGCTTGCCCTCCTCCTTGGAAGAGTGCTCCCATTTCCCCAGTTCCTCAGCACATCGCCTCAATCCCTGCTGCAATCATACAGAGCACAGCAGGCCAGGGTGATGTGACACACGCTGTCCAGACTATACTGCAGGGCCCTTCCAGACCGTGCCAAGCAGCAGAACCGCATCTTCAGCAGCCCTACTTTCTATTTCACCATTGCCATGGTAACAGGCATGGGCAGCATTGAATCTGCAGTCCATATTCTGTAATGGAGTCATCGTTCATGGTTGTAGTATGTGGCTTTTGTCCCAGTAACTAGCTTTGTAGAGTGCTGCAGGATGTAGGAGGCCTGGCAGCTGCCAAGGCAATGGGCACAACACCTTCAGCAAATGGTAATAGTGATCACAGATTGCCTGGACTTTATTGGAAAGGAACCCCTCCGTGTCGATGAACAGTGCAGTGTTGTGATCCGGCCCTCTCAGTGTGAATGAGTGCAATCGATGGCCCCTGCAATTGGGGAACACAACTAAGTTCCTGAATCCTGCGAGTGGAGCTAAGAAATTGCAATGGGCATCCAGCAGTAGTTGCAGTTATTTATGAGCCACCAAATAATAGTGGCATTACGGAGTATGGGATAAATCAGCAGATCAGAGAAGCACATAGCATGGACAGCACAGTAATCATAGGTGACTTTAATCTGCATAGAGACTGGGCAAACCAATTGAGCATCAAAGCTTGGAGGGCAGGATTCTGGAGTGTGTTAGGGATGGTTTTCCAGAGCAATACATTTGAGGAACCAACTAGAGGACACGCCATTTTAGACCCAGTAGTATGTAAAGGAATAGGGATAATTAATAATCTTTCTGTAAGAGAAGCTTTAGGAATGAATGACCACCATATTTTAAAATGCTCACTATGTTGAAAGAATTTTGGAAGATAATCGCCAATGTGTCAGCTTTCTTTATAGCCACCTCCTGCAACACTCAAGGATGTAGACTGTCGGATTCTGGTGATTTATCACCTTTCAGCCCCATTACCTTATACAATATAATCTTCCTACTAATCCTAATTTCCTTCAAATCCTCATTTCTTAGCCACTTGGATCTCCAGTTCTGTGAGATTATTCCTATTCTCTGAGTAAGGATTCTCGGTATCTGTGGTGCTGCACAAAACCTGTGTGCAACTACCTTCTATTTGATTTCTCACACTAAACTCTTATGTGGAACTTTATCAAAAGCTTTCTGAAAATCCAACTGCACCACATTCACATCTTAGAAGGATTGCTACACTTCAAAACAAATTAGTCGACTGTGAAGCTTTTTTGGAATAGAGCCATAGAGTTGTACAGCGTGGAAATAGACCCTTCGTTCCATGCCAACCAGACATCCCAATTTGACCTAATCCTATTTGTCAGCATTTGGCCCATATCCCTCTAAAACCTTCCTACTCATATACCCATTCAGCTGCGCCCCTCATGATTTTATAAACCTTTATGAAGCCACCCCTCAGTCACCAATGCTCCAAGGAAGAAAGCCCCAGTCTATTCAGCCTGTCCCTATAACTTCAACTTTCCAGACCTGGAAACTTCCTCGTAAAACTTTTCTGCACCCTCTCAAGTTTAACAACATATTTCCTGTAGAAGGGTAACCAGAATTGCTTGCAGTACTCTTAATGTGGTCTCACCAATGTCCTGTACAGGTGTAACATGACATCCCAACTCCTATAATCAATGTTCTCACCAGAGAAGGCCAGCATACCAAATGCCTTCTTCACCACCCTGTCTACTTGCAACTCCACTTTCAAGGAACTATGTACTTGCACCCCTAGGTCTCTGTTCAGCAATACTCCCCAGGGCCCTACCATTAACTGTATAAGTCCTGCCCGGTTTGTCTTACCAAAATGCAACACCTCACATTTATCTGCATTAAACTCCATTTGGCACTCCTCGGCTCAATGGCTCATCTGGTCAAGGTCCCATTGGACTCCGAGGCAATCTTCTTCACTGTCTACTACACCACCTATTTTGGCATCATCTGCAAATGTACTAACCATACCTCTTATATTCACATTGAAATCATTTATATAAATGACGAAAAGCAGTGGGCCCAGCACCGATCCTTGTGGCACACCGCTGGTCACAGGGCTCCAATCCGAAAAGCAACCCTCTACTACCACCCTCTGTCTCTTCCCTTCAAGCCAATTTTGTATCCAATTGGATAGCACCCCTTGGATCCCATGTGATCTAACTTTACTAACCAGACTGCTATGCGGAACCTTGTTGAACACTTTGCTGAAGTCCATATAGACAACGTCTACTGCTCTGCCTTCATTAATTTTCTTTGTCACCTCTTCAAAAAAAATCAAGTTAGTTAGACACGATTTCCCACACATAAAGCCGTGTTAACTGTCCTAATCAGTCCTTGCCTTTCCAAAACATGCAAATCCTGTCCCTCAGAATCCCCTCCAACAATTTATCCACCACTGATGGCAGGTTCATTGTGAGGAAATTTTTAGAGACACCATATAGATACAAATTCTTTCTTTAATCTTAGGACATTATATATTATGTTAGAGGTACTATATAAAATATAAGTTATTGTTGTTGTAACTGATTTGAATTGCAATCCCATAGTGTCCCAGAGTTTGAAGCCAGCAAATACCTAATAACGAATGGGGAATATCTGAAGTTTGTGCAGGCTGGAGGATATGGAAAGAAAATTTACTGGACCAAAGAAGGCTGGGAGTGGAGGACGTTCCGTCAGGCGCATCATCCTACATTCTGGGTCTGTACGAAAGGTATAAACCACTTGTTTCTCTTTCAATAATCATTTCCCACAATAATCCAATACATTCTTTGAACCCTTGAATACCATCAAGAGGCAGATCCCAAGACCAGAAATTGTACATTGGTCTTAATTACCCAAGGAAATGTACAACGATAATTCTAACAGTACTTTTGTTTGGAAAGTACTTTTAAATATTCCTGAATTCATGGTCTTGTATCCTTGGATCATAGGTGCAGGTTACACCTTGCTGTCATTCTCCTGGGGGAAGTTAGCAAAACAGCCCCTGATACAAAAGGGAAGTTCTAGAAATGGCAGAAAGCTCAGTCAAAGTCTGAAGGAGAAAAAGATGTTATTAAATAACAACATAAGAACTAGGAGCAGGAGTAGGCCATCTGGCCCATTGAACCTGCCCCGCCATTCAATAAGATCACGGTTGATTTTTCGTGGAGTCAGCTCCACTTACCCGCCTACTCACCATAACCCTTAATTGCTCTGCTGTTCAAAACTCTATCTATCTTTGCCGTAAAATCATTCAACGAGGAAGCCTCAACTGCTTCACTGTCCAGGGAATTCCACAGATTTACAACCCTTTGGGTGAAGAGATTCCTGTGGAATTCCCTGCCCAGTGAAGCAGTTGAATGCCATATCATATCAAAAGTTAACGCATAACCTTCTTTGAATGAATACATCCAAACGTGTATTATATATTTGATGCAGGGTGCAATTTTTCTGCCTTGAAACCTTACTTTGTGCAGTCGCAATTCGCAGCCACGCAATTCTGTCAGTACTTATAAATTTAAATCATGTCAACATTTCCCACATAGTTTTCCTTTGTCAACTGTCACATGGTGACTGAATCAATGGTTCATTTCTGAAATCTCTCTCCCAAATCAATTTGCATTTCCTGTGTTGAGAAAAAACTGTATTCAGTGTTCAATTAACTCATTTAAAAAAAAAGTGGAAGAATCAAATCTGCCTAGTTCCACAGTCAACAGTGCGTGAAATTACCAGCGATGCAGTATTTGAAAAATTAAATACAGCTGACCTGTAAACTGGTCACCAGTATGTTATGAGGGCAGGTTGAATTGTCAGGGTAAATTCCATGATTCCAGCCTCATTGTGGGGAATGCACACAGAGACGGAGCATGGAGTGAAGATGGAGGCTGCAGTATTGTAGTCTGATTAACAACAATAAAATAATAACACTGAATATGTGCCTCTCTGTCAGGAGTATGAAGTTGCACCAATGCCTCTATTGTTTAGTTAGTTATCAAATCAATATTCATATTCTTTTATCACCTGAGAGATAGAAGCCTTATTTAAAATATACTTGAGGTAGTTCATAGAACCCCAACAGTGTGGAAACAGGCCCTTCGGCCCAACAAGTCCACACCAACCCTCAGAGCGTCCCAGCCAGACCCATCCCCCTATAACCCACCTAATCCACACATCCCTGAACACTACGGGCAATTTGGCATGGCCAATCCACCTAGCCTGCACATCTTTGAACGGTGTGAGTAAACCGGAGCACTCGGAGGAAACCCACACGGACCCGGGGAGAATGTGCAAACTCCACACAGACAGTCGCCCGAGGATGGAATCAAATCCAGTTCTCTGGTGCTGTGAGGCAGCAGTGCAGATGAGGAGGGTGAGGAAAATGAGACTACTTTTGATTTACATTGTGTTATTCAACTTTGAATATAAAAATATCAGCAAGGCATGTAAATATTATCTGTGTGTGTTTGGTGAGGAACATTACATCAATGTGCAGCCTGCACCTGTGTTACTAGGCTACAGCACGTCTGAATATAAATTCAGAAAGATTCAAGGGCACTTTTCAACCAGAAGCATCAATGGCATTATTGTTAGATATTTCTTTTAAGTTCTAGAATTTCTGTATGATCAGTAAGTGATTACCCTCCTGCACTATATTCCGCACTGGTGGATATTCACTGTCTATTTTGTCTCATCTGCTCACATTTTCTCAGGCTTTCCCCTGGATGGTAGTTGCCTAACGCACAGCCTAGTTCCACAGGAAAAAAGATGGTTATTCCAGGCCATTGTTTCAGCCAGCTCGTATCTACAACAATCCAAAACAAATCCCACTGCCTAGTTCTCTCTCCATAACCTTGCATTTTCCTCACCTTTAAATATTTATAGAGTCATAGAGTCATACAGCATGGAAACAGACCCTTCGGTCCAACTCATCCATGCTGACCGTGTTCCCAAACTAAATTAGTTCCATTTACCTGCATTTGGCCCATAGCCCTCTGAACCTTTCCTATTCATGTACCTATCCAAATGTCTTAACTATTGTAATTTAACCTTTGAAAGATGTAATGGGTCTTTGTTTCAAGTACTTTCTGTGGCAAAACATTCCAACAACCCACAAAGTCAGATACTTGCTGGTGGCCAATTGGGCTATTTCAAACACTGTCTATTCCAAGGGTAAATAATTTAAAGCTGCTCATCATGATTCAGTAAGCTGTAATTCAGTCAGTTTCCTAATAGCTGAGCCAGGGACGGCATCAGGCTACTGGTTCCTAATCATAAGATCGGGGGTTTCAAATTTTAATCCTTAGCTTTTGCTGACCGAGCTGCCTTTGGTAAGAATGGCACAAAGAGGATAAGGACTGGGAAGCCATATTAAAGCTGATCCATGCAAAAGAGTCGGAGCAGTCAGGATTCTCTTTGGTTACCCTCTGTTGGCTCACTTCTGGAACATGTGCACATGTAAATATTGGAGGAACCCAGAATCTCTCTCAGCTGTGACCACCCTCATATTGCAAAAGCCAGACAGCTCTCACAATCAAAACTCTCAAAATAAATGCCCACTTGACTAAGGTAACAGAGAATTGTCCGTGTCAGTCACTCAATAGACTAGCAACCTCAAGAGGGGAAAACAGGAAAAGATGGATATGAAAGATTCCTTTTATGGTGTAAAATGTAAGGACCATGCAATTAAGTATTTTAACATTTAACTTTGCATAGGATGCAAGTCTGGCTGTGGAGCAGCCCTTGCAAGTTATTCTCATTGTCAACCAGATAAAGCCACTAAAATCACTAGAGAAGCGAACTGCACAGAAGAACATCCGAGCGGCAAACAGAACGGATGGTGTTTGAATGGTGTTGAAGAGGTCATCTCTGTTGAGGAAAGATTGCCAGAGTACAGGTAACTGCAAGAGTACAGGTGTATCTAAAACTCCTGGATGAATCTGTGTTGTGCAACCAGAGGTCAATAAATAGAATAATCTGATCTTCCTTGGGATATGGTCATTATGATGTATTTCCATTTATTGGCCCGGATTTTCTGCTGGACATGCAGTTGTGGGAAATGCGTGTGGAGAATGTTAGGAATTTCCATCGTAGCACACACCAAAAAATTGTCCAGGAAATTTAATTTTCCAATGGGCAATTCCTCTTTGCCTGGAACTCACTTGGTTCACTAATGCCCTTTAGAGAAGGAAACTGCCATCCTTACCTAGTTTGGCCTACACGTGGCTCCAGACCCACAACAATGTGGTTGACTCTTAACTACCCTCTGGGCAATTAGGGATAGGTATTAAATGCTGGCCTAGCTGGCAAAGCCCTCATCCCATGAAAGAATTTTTTAAAATTTGGAAGTATCCTTTTAAATGGGAAACTTTAGGGTGTTCTGATGAAATTAAGTAAAATTCAGGAAGAGTTGCACTATTAAATACATATTCAAATCCCTGAGTAACTGTTAAACCGACCCCATATTTGCCTTACACTCTCCAACCTACAATTCCCTAGAACATTTAATCCCCCAGACCGTAACTCTACACTGCCAGGAACCTAACAACCACCGGAAACCAGGCCCCTCTTCAATCTTTGTGAGATTTCCACTCCTGGGAAAATCCGCCAGTTGTTATTATTGAGATACTGTGTCCCGGCCAGAATCCAGTGTTTTCACTGAAAGTGTGATGTGCACCCTGTCTGTCTCCACGCGTTCCCAGGCAGAGGCCTTACTGATGCCCACAATCATTACAGCATTCAGAGGTTGACTGTACATCTGATTAGAAAAGTTACCTTGTTGATTTAGGAGATTGAGAGAAAAGGACAAATTTTAGCCTAAATTGTTAAGTAAGTTGCCTGACCCCTTATCTGTCCCTAGTTAAAATGGCAGGAATTGACCTTAATGTTTCTCGGGTCAGGAAGAAGAGAATTAGCCAGATTTGCCAGTACTAATTACTATCACAAGAGTATTTATTTGAATGAGGTACCAGTTCTCTAAGGAATGAATGCTTTCAAAAGAGAAAGGAAGAAATTGTGGGAAGAAGATGTTAAGGAGATTAAGTCAGAATCTGGGAGATTCAATCTGTATTAATTCCTGCAGGTACAGAGCTATGTTTGATATCCTCCCAATGCCCTTGGACTGGCCAGTGGAAGTCAACTATCATGAAGCAAAAGCATTTTGTACGTGGAAAGGCAGCGGACACCGCCTCCCAACAGAAGCTGAGCATTATCTAATGCGTGCTGGCAGCCAGGTATTCAGCCCAGCCCATTTTAGATGTTGAGTACAGCCTGTTTTAGAAATGCGTTTATTTTCATGAACTCTTCTCACTGGAACATCGTGGGGAAATGCTGTGTAAAAAGATCTTCATTTCAAACTTTTGGTACTGTGCAACCTTCAGCTCATTAGGCTATTCAGCTCCCTACAGGCTTCCCTCTGTAATAAGGGAAAATATCTAATGGGGATTAACTTCATGATATTTTTGTGTTTGGGCGAAGAGGCAAAGTAGCCTTGAGTTAGTTTCATTGTAACTATGTCACATGCCAGTGATACAATAATGTGTTTCAATTTGGTTTATATCTTCTAATCGTATATTTTGCAAAAATAGAGATTTTACAAACATATTGTTAAAAGTGCTGAACTCAAGTTGTCCTTACAGAGTTCCTCTAAAAGCTCAGGAGGGAAAGATGACACTGTGTTGAGTCACAAAGATTCAGAATATCCCAAGTACTCTGTCTCCGTTTGTGTGTAGTTGATCAAAGCAAGAGTGTAAAGGGATACCACGGCTGCCCGCAGTTCTGCTATGACTGAAGCAGGGATGTGCGAGGGTATAATCTGCCAGTGTTCCTCCTTCTGCAATCGGCGAAGTCAGAAAAGGCCAATAACACGAGTCAGACCAGCACGTGTTAGTCATATGTTTTACTATTTTTTGCTTATAATGTCTGTTTTCAAAGATTGAATCACTTGATAAAGACACAACAGCGTTTTCCGCTGGGAATTGTCCATCAGCCCAGGTGTGTTGAATTTGGGAGCTTGTTGTGTGGTGTGTTTTACTGCTTTAGTTTTGCAGCTGTGAACTGACAGTTGGTTAATCAGACATGGTAACATTATATTGTGGTTCTCAAGTACCCAGTGTACTAAGTGTAACACTTTGTGATCTTTTGATACAAAATCCTTTTTTTTAAAACCAGTGTGTGACTCTTCTAATCTCTGGTATGATTGTATCATCAGAATTCTCTATGTAACTATTTCTGTGCACTGTTTGATTGCAGCTTCTACATTATGTCTGTCTCCATTTCTTTTGGCCTCAGTTCTTAGTGCATTATTTCCCCCTTTCCTACCCTCCAGTGATTGGGCAGCATTTACATCTCTCCTACTGTGTCCATTATGCATCTTTAATTCCATCCAGACATCACCACTGTCTGCCTTCTCACTGACCTGCTCTTATCCCGGACATGAATGCTGCTTGGTTAAAGCAGCAACTACACTTTGGGCATTTCTTAGAATTCTCTGTAAGATCCATTCAGTCACCAACTGATGCCTCCTGCAAACACCAAATCCAAATGCCCTGTCATCCTTTCTTGCCCATTTCCCGATCCAGTGCACCTGCTGGGTTATCTATCCATCCTCCATCCCAAGCAACCAACTCACTCACTCACTCACGACTGTCCTTTGGATTCTGCCATTCCTCTCTGCTTTTCTCTCTAGAGTGCTTGTTTGTTCATGAACGAGGCTTTTATCCCTTCAATATATTCTGAACAAATGCATTGGCGTCCTGGTTTTGATTGAAATATGCCCCCCATGCTGGTCATTGCCCTGGATATTCCACCCTCAAGTCCAAGAGGATGGATGCTGACAGGATATTGAGAGAAGAACTAGGGAACACAGTTTTAGAATCACAATGCTCCTTCAGAAGTAAACTTGAGGTGATGGTTGACTTCACTGGGTCCTGCAATTTTCCAATTCCAGTGACAGCATTTACTAACTATATCAACACACAATGTAAGTTGGGTACCTAGGATTAGTTAGCTGGAATAGGAATCTTGGGAGGCGGTATCTCCCCATTATGGATAAATACTGCAGTAGCCTGGAAATAGCAAGGCCTATCAAATTGCTTACAACAGACTGTGGGTTGAACAGTGCTGAACATTTTGTTTCTATTTGACAGATTATAAGAAAACCGAGTAAAATATATAAAGTTGATAACCAGCCAGTCCTGATCACTGATTTAAGACTTCCTAAGCCAAGAAATGTCAACGTATTTTCCAAAATCTCACATACTCAACAGGGATCTTATACATTCACTACTTCATACCAGCAAAGATGACATTTAAGTTTTGTCCGTAAGTTTAACTATGGTCACAGTGTTGAACAGTAGTCACCATAGAAAGGCCTCATTGACAAGCCCAACCACATTTACATTCACCGATCAAACAAAACAGGAGTGTCTTCCTTGTGCAAGAGTGGGAACCAATCTATCTTTTTCATCCTTCCCTGAGGATATTGAGCACATTAATGCCCTTCTCAGTGACCCAGCTAAGATGAGCTAACATTCCAGGAATTGAACATGGGTCTTTCTCAGTCTATGGGCTCAGTTTCATGTTGGACAGTGTCTTAGCAATGTGATCGTTATTGTCTAAATATAGCCCATATAGTTCCTTGAATATCACCTTTTATCTTTACATAATAACCCATATCACATTGTGGACAGCTCTCGTGATAGTCTGAATCACATTGGATTGGGTCACCGGGATGACTGTAATTTTGGATGATTGTGAACACAGGTCATAACAGAAAGCTGATCTGTCGTCTATTTTCTGTTATCACCCAATGTTAAAATTATTCCAATGACCTCTCTTTGATACTTTTTTTTATTGACTCGTGGGACATGGGTGTTGCTGGCTGGCCAGCATTTATTGCTCGTCCCTAGTTGCCTTTGAGAAGGTGATGGTGAGCTGCCTTCTTGAACCACTGTGTGTCGCCCTGCAGTGAATTGACCCACAATGCTATTAGGGGGAAATTCCAGGATTTTGATCTAGTGACAATGAAGGAACAATGATGTATTTCCACGTCAGGATGGTGAGTGGTTTGGAGGGGAAGGTTGTGTTCCTGTATATCTGCCTCATTACTTTGTTACTTTTATTTGCATGTTCATCTGAATATTGACTCAATATATATTCTTGTCATCCTGATTCCAATCTAATTTGCTTTTCTTGAAGCCTTTGGGAGATAGCATTACTTCTGATCCAATATTTTGTGATGATTTAAAGAAGAAAATTAACATCAACATGGCTTTTGGATCTCCGACGGTAAGTGATATTTATTCCATTTAAATTTGTGCCATATCTCTTAGGGATGCTGAGAACATATTTAGGATGTATTAAAAATGGCAACATGCTAGTGACCTTAAATTAAACTGTTGAATGTGCTTCACTCACTACCGAAGGAAAATGGATCTCACCAATATACTTGTTAAAAATCAGAGAGTTTATGGGATATTTGGATTTCTGCTAATTCCCCGACCCCGAAGTCTCAAATTGTGACATGGATAGACACAAGGTTCAAAAATCAGCTTTAAAATGTTGCCAGGCTTTGTACTGAGTCATTTTCATCTTCCCCACACCTGAAGCTCACCCGAAACTGTGACTGAAGGGACCGCTTATGGTCTCTACTGTGAACACAAGCAAGAATTCATTTAATTTGAGCACTTTATATCATGTCACCTTTGAGAACGTTCAACAGCAACGAGAGATGGACAATAACTGCTGGCCCAGCCAATGACATCTGCATCCTATGTGTGAATAAAAAGCATAGCTTCACTATTTCATGTTCATAATGCTTACACGGAGTATATTTACAGACATTAGCACTTTGTTCTGCGTGTTATTTTTTGTAATCAGGCCATTTTCCATTTCACTCTCCTGGACAGTTTCTTACATTCCAGTGGTTTGCTCTTCTATTCATCTCAATTCGCTATGGTGTACAAAGCTTTGCACCCTGGGAATTTTTTGATTGAATTATATCTGTTGTCTGGTTTCCATTGTGCTGCATCTATTCTGTATTTCCAAACTTTTTCTCTTAATCAGTGCTGCTCAGTCCTGTTCCTGAGTTTACCATTCAATATCAGTCCTTCAAAACTTGATTTAGTTCTTCTGTGTTAATTCTCTTTTCCATTATTAGCTTTATACTGTGGCAACTATTGCCATCATTCAGCCACTGCAAACAAAACAATGGTAAGACTATATAATATAGAACAGAGAAGAGTACAGCACAGGAACGGGCCCTTTGGCCCACGATGTTGTGCTGAACATGATGCTAAATTAAACTAATCCCTCCTACCTGCCATTGGTCCATCCTTTAGATGCTTATCTAAAAGTCCCTTAAAAGCTCCTATTGCATCTGCCTCCAGCACCACCTCTAGCAGCACGTTCCAGACTCCTACCACTCTCTGTGTAAAAACATGCTCCTCACATCTCCTTGGAACTTTCCCTCTCTCACCTTAATTGTATGTCCCCTAGTATTAGACATTTCAAATCTGGGAAGAAGATTCTGACTGTCTGTCTATGTATCTCATAATTTTATAGACTTCTATCAAGTCTCCCTTCAGGCTCCACCAGCCTATAGACAACAACTGAGTTTTTCTAGCCTGTCTTTATAGCTTATACCTTCTAATCTCGGCAGCATCCTGGTAAACCTCTTCTGCAATCTCTCCAAAACCTCCACATCCTTCCTGTAATGTAACGACCATAACTGAATGCAATATATGATATATTTTTAAAATCTGGTGGACAATAAAAGTCTGTTTGGTTGAACAGAACCCCACCTTGGGGGAGGCAATGGCCTCGCGGTATTATCACTGAACTGTTAATCCAGAGACCCAGACAATGTTCTGGGAACCCGGGTTTGAATCCCACCACGGTAGATGGTGGGTTTGAATTTAACAAATATCTGGAATTGAAAATCTAATGATGACTGTGAATCCATTGTCAATTGCTGTAAAAATCCATCTGGTTCACAAATGTCCTTTAGGGAAGGAAACTGCCATCCTCACCTGGTCTGGCCTACATGTGACTCCAGACCCACAGCAATGTGGTTGACTCTTAACTGTCCTCTGAGCAATTAGGGATGGACAATAAATGCTGCCTAGCCGGTGACACCCTCATCCCATAAACAAATAAAGGAAAGGACCTATCTGCCTCCTCAATTTATCTCCAACTTTTATATTTTTCAATTTTATCATTCTTTAGAAAGGCAAATTCAACACACTGAAACTACTTCTTGTTTTCTGTCCTTTATGACAGATTTTTCATCAATGTGCGTGGATCAGCATTGATAACTTACTTCATAATTTTGCAAACTTCAAGTTTGTCACCATAGCACCATTTTTTTCCCAAAGAAATCAAATCCAATTTTAGGATAATTTCTCTTCTGACAAGCATGTTGTCAGTTCACTCATGAAGTTTCTCTAAAAGTAATCGTATTAGTTTTATGTTTAGCTGACTAGTCTGTTTGTAAGTACTTCAGGTGAAAAAGTGGAATTAATATCATCAAAACGGAAACAGTCTTTTGAGGTCAAGTAATCTTTTCTGCTTCCTGATTTTGTTTAAGTTCTTATTTCATAAAGTAGTAACAGAAAAGTGTCCTGATGATGAATTGATGGCAAAATACTTGTGCCTAAGTTAGTTACAGAGATAGTAGGAACCTCCGATGCTGGAGAATATGAGATAACAAGTTGTAGAGCTGGTTGAACACAGCAGGCCAAATCTTTGGTGGTGGGGTCGGATTGCAGATGGCGGAAGTGTCGGAGGATGATGCGTTGGATCCGGAGGTTGGTGGGGTGGTATGTGAGGACGAGGGGGATTCTGTTTTGGTTGTTATTGCGGGGAGGGGGTGTGAGGGATGAGTTGCAGGAAATGCGGGAGACACTGTTGAGGGCGTTTTCAACCACTGTGGAGGGGAAGTTGCGGTCCTTGAAGAACGAGGACATCTGAGATGTACGGGAGTGGAATGCCTCACCCTGGGAGCAGATGTGGCAGAGGCGAAGGAATTGGGAATAGGGGATGGCATTTTTGCAGGAAGGTGGGTGGGAGGAGGTGTATTCTATGTAGCTGTGGGAGTCACTGGGCTTGAAATAGATATCGGTTTCCAGGTGGTTGTCAGAGATGGAAACAGAGAGGTCCAGGAAGGAGCGAGAGGTATTGGAGATGGTCCAGGTGAACTTAAGGTTGGGTGACCCCACTACCAAAGACATTTTTCCCTCCCCACCCTTATCTGCTTTCCGGAGGGACCACTCTCTCCGTGACTCCCTTGTCCGCTCCACATTCCCCTCCAGCCCCACCACACCCGGCACTTTTCCATGCAACCGCAGGAAGTGCTACACCTGCCCCTACACCTCTCCCTCATTCCCATCCCAGGCCCTAAGAAGACCTTCCACATCAAACAGATGTTCACCTGCACATCTGCTAATGTTGTATCCACTGTTCCCGTTGTGGCCTCCTCTACATCGGGGAAACCAAGCAGAGGCTTGGGGACCGCTATGTGGAACACCTACGCTCGGTTCGCAACAAACAACTGCACCTCCCAGTCGCAAACCATTTCAACTACCCCTCCCAATCCTTGAATGTCATGTCCATCCTGGGCCTCCTGCAGTGCCACAACGATGCCCCCCGAAGGTTGCAGGAACAGCATCTCATATTTTGCTTAGGAACCCTGCAGCCCAACGGTATCAATGTGGACTTCACAAGCTTCAAAATCTCCCCTCCCCCTACCGCATCCCAAAACCTGCCCAGCTCATACCCGTCTCCTGAACCTGTCCTCCCACCTATCCCCTCCTCCCACCTCAAGCCCCATCCCCATCTCCTACCTACCAGCCTCATCCCGCCTCCTTGGCCTATCCGTCCTCCCTGAACCGACCTATCCCCTCCCTAACTCCCCACCTACACTCACCTTTACAGGCTCCATCCCCGCCTCTTTGATCTATCTGTCTCCTCTCCGCCTACCTTCTCCTTTATCCATCTTCTATCTGCCTCCCCCTCTCTCCCTATTTATTTCAGAACCCCCTTCCCCTCCCCCATTTCTGAAGAAGGGTCTAGACCCGAAATTTCAGCTTTTCTGCTCCTCTGATGCTGCTTGGCCTGCTGTGTTCATCCAGCTCTACACCTTGTTATCTCTTGTGCCTAACTTACTTGTGGTTGATATTCAACTTCCCTTGGAAATAATGCAATAAGCAAGGATTCTGCAGCCCCAATCACTAACCCAGAATAAATTGCCCTCAATTTGTCACTGTGACAGGTATCTGCCTTAGCTGTCTTCAACTGAACCAAAGCACATGACCATAAGGCAGGTTTGAGGCTCATTTTAATACCCTCTGTTCAAAGTAGTAAAGCTTAATCTATCTGTGTAGCTTCTCTCTTGAGCCAAAGGTACAACACCTTGGTGTACATGTTTTGTCAAAAATGAGCATATTATCAGTCGTCATTTACTTAACCCTTTAAAAATCTAGGCTATTTGAATAATATGTCCATTGAACCTTCTTTTCCCCAGAGTAATCAATTCTAAACTCTTCATTGCCAATTGATGCTTGAAGTAGATATCAATTTGGTTGATCTTTTCTGCACCACTTCCAGTGCCTTGATAACTTTACTGTAGTAGTGGTCAGAATAGAAAACACATTTTAGCTTTGAACATACATTCTTCTCCTTTATGTCCTCTGCAGCCCGTGACTATGTATCCACCCAATGAGGCAGGTTTTCATGATGCATTTGGCAATGTCTGGGTTTGGACAGAAGATCATTTTAATGGGCTTCCAGGGTTTGATACCACGTACCTGTATGATGACTTCTCCAGCCCCTGTTTTGATGGCAGACATACAATAATTCTGGTATGTTCCATGCAATACTTTTCCTTTGTTAGTCTGTTTTATTTAGTTCAGTTCACTGAGTGGAAACAGCGTAGGGGCAATGCGTCAGAACAACCAGCAGGTGACTTACCATCTCCGGTCGTGGTCCTTTACAATGGTAAGCTGTAAGGCGTTTCAGGTGGATATGACTGCACTCTGAAGCAGGCTTGTATAAGTTAGTTTCTAATTATGTCATTAAGAGCCTGATGCAGTTTTCCCCAGAATCTAAATGAGACAAGCTCCCTCAGCTCTCCTGATAGACAACATTCGAGCATTGTCTGGTAAGTGCGAAATGCATGTTTGTGAAGTGAGGAAAAGCAGGTGTGTATCTCTAGGCTCCAGAAAGAAAGATGTAGCCTTCCCTGGCCCAACAACTCCTCCCCTGAACTTCCATCCTTCAAGATCACGCTGACAACCCTTTACTTTCTTTTGAAAGGGCTGCCAGTGTTTTCTATATGTTAAAATGTTCATGGGAGTTTTCCAGACCAATGACCATGACTTCCATGAAGAGCTGTAGAAACACAGGAAAGTGAGCACATAAATCCAAATTTTCCTAGGGTCTCTTTAGCATTTTCATCTAAGTTACGGCAAATCAGTGAGCAAAGGAATCTTCCAATAATCACCGATCCCACGCCCAGCCTTCCTATAAACCTCCTTTCTGCCTACCTCCTTCCCATCAGCCTTCCTGCTCACTCACCTCCTTCCTGCTCACTCACCTCCTTCCCATCAGCCTTCCTGCTCACTCACCTCCTTCCTGCCCACTCACCTCCTTCCTGTTCACACACCTC